ATATGCCTATTCCTATTGTGTGCAGTACATTTAGTAACAGAATCTCACACCTAATGTTGTGCCTTGCATTGTAATTGGGGGAAGAACCGCCATACACCTCAGCTATGCTCCATGCTCTTCTGCTTCCTTCTGCTTTGCGTTCAGATGCTTAAATAAATCTTCTTATTGTCACATTTTCAGAGTTGATGTACTTTAAAGTCAGCCATAACACTCCCATTTGCACAGTATATCAAATTCATGTGATTCACCCCTCAATTTAAGTTTTGCAGAATCCCATTAAAGAGATTAATTCAAGTCATCCCTTAAATTTAGTTTATAAAATTTTATTTAAAAATTAATATATTTTTGTTTTTGAGTAATGTCCTGCAAAAACCTTGTAATATTTTGTGGTACATGAATGAATCACAAGCAAAAATGCCATTTAACCATATATATATATATATATATATATATGTGTGTGTGTGTGTGTGTGCAAATTATTAATCACAAAACAACATTTTCCACTGTCCGTTGTCACCTCCTCCACCCTTCCTGTGATTAAATTGTACAAAGATACATTTTAAAAGATAACATTAGAACTAAATTGCTTCATAATGCAAATCTTGAAGGCATAAAGGACTTTACGCAACTTTTGCTGACACCTTATAGTGACGAATGCGTTTATACGCGGTGGGGAGGTGGAAGAGTGTGTCCAATAGCACGGCCGAGGAGGCGGTGTGTGGTGACACGCACAAACAGAGCGAGAGGCGGGCTATAGCAGCCAGCTGTTGGAAAGCAGCGCTCCTGAATCATCCGCAGCTTCTGCATCAGGTGAATATTTCTGCATCTGCACAAGACCAGAACGCACAACAAGACTCTCGACGCTCACTTAGTCATTTATGTTTCCTATCAGCAACTATTCCTGTTTGACTGGTCCCGATCGAGTGGGTGAAACTAAGAAGTAAACAGAGAAAAAGAAGATCGAGGAACAGGTGAGATCAGATGCTCTATTTTTATTTTTAAGCACGTGTTGAGTTTCTGTTTTATCTTCTTATTTCGGTTTTTAAGGCAAATGAGCGAAGCTTCCTGGGGTTTCCTGTGTAGAGCATTGCATGACACAGCTGTGAGTAAAGTACCTGTTGCTGTGTTATTGAGATGAGGCTATAATAGACAGGAGTGCTTGGCAACTCGGGGACAGACAGGCTATTCTTAAACTGTCTATTTGAAATGACGTCAGCAAGTTATTGGGAATAATTGCCCATAAACGGGTTTAAGCAATGCATTTCTACTTCTTTTTAACTTTTATGATTATTATT